GGGGGGGGGGGGGGGGGGTTGTGTATGAAGGAGTCATGGATGTTGATGAAGGGAACATCTAGTCACTCTCCACCCATATTATTAACAGTTTCAAAATTGCTGTTTCAATTCGATTTATTGGGTTGACGATTTTTCGCCATCCACAAAATTGATAAGCATCACCGCCTTTATAATTTTTATTATTTTATAAGCAAAAATAAATGATACGCATCCGAACAAGTCTCGACTTTAAAAATTAAATGAAAACACCAAAATTGAGTGGAAGGAAAATCTCATTGGCACAACAAAATAATCAATCATAATACTTCATTCATTAAAAATTTCCACCAAAACCATGGAACATTACGGCTTGCAAGTTGTGCAGCATCGATGACACAAACTCAATAGCAGAATAAACTCGTTGTCTAGTCCAACCTGCCTGCAAAGACATACGTTGTCGGGTTTTGCTACGAGTAACTCACGGTTTATACCTTGTTAGCCAATGCTGAAATGCCACTTGTATAATAATTCAACTTTGTCGAGCCATGGTAAGCAAATACCGCAATTTCACTTGCCAACTCAGTAACCAAACATTGAACATTAACCTGGGTGGGCTTCTTAGGCCTTTCACAGTCGAGCGGTACTGAACGGTTCGACTCAACCTTTACAAAATTAGCATGCCAACATAACTGAACAGTTCTCTTCATTCCTAAAGGAAAATTGTCAGTATGCTTTGTCTGCATAAGCCATGAGAATTGCTTTAGTTGTCTTTTCTTTCACAGCCAAAAAGGAAAAGCTTACTTGCACCCCCACATTATATACATATTTTTCACAGCTTTCAGCATTCTCAAGAACACACTTTCTTTCACGCTGCTTGTCTCCAAACTCTGACACATCCAACATTATTTGCCATAATATATAGGCAAAATCTCCATTTATGAGTCCTCCAATTTTGCAAGTTTTCTGTACTAAATTTACAGTTATTTTGTTAGATCTGATTATGAGATTATAGGCTTCCATTTAAAAAGTACAAGCATCCAAAGACAAATCTGTCTATGCCCAAGATTTTAAACTTCCTCCATGGGAAAAACTGGTGAAAATTCTTGGTTCAATGCAGTTAAAAGGGCTTTCAGATCTCCTGTCAAAGACAATGAGACGAGGAACAGCAGAAGAGGAGAAGAACACGAACAAGAAGACGAAGAAAAGGTATTTATTCTAGTCCTAAATTCACACACGATGACATTATCGGTAAGGTAATTTTGACAAATTGTTTGTTTTTTCGTGCAGAAGAGAGGAAAAAGAAGATGGGTTCTGTGGAAACCATCCCTTCATGAAACCACCATACAACATAGTGAAGTTAAAAACAAAGCTTCTCCAAGCCCTTCTTCCACAAGCAATCGTGCAAATTTGTTAAAGACACCTTTGTCAGCAAATGGCGAATCCGAGCAGAGGCGCGGCATTGCAGTGGCGATGGCAGTGACAGCTGCTGCCGAGGCAGCAGTTGCGACAGCACAAGCAGCAGTCGAGATTATTCGGCTAACAAGACCTAATTTCATTTTAGTGGAACAAAGACAGGCTGCTGTTGTTATCCAGACAAGATTTCGGGGTTACCTGGTACGTAATAAAACTCTCTTTGTTGTTCGTGGACTGAAAAGTTATACTAATTCTGGTGTTCTAGGCAAGGAAAGCACTGCGAGCCCTGAAGGGTGTCGTAATGCTGCAATCCCTCATAAGAGGATATAATGTGCGGAAGCGAGCAAAGATGACTCTCCAATGTATGCAATCTCTCGTCCGCGTACAAACTAGAGTATGCGATCAACGCAGGAGATTTTCGTGTGAAGGAAGCCGAAGTTCCTTGTTCGTAGAGCCTGATGATGGAGGAGAATCTCATATCTCAAACATCAAGCCAATTGTGAGTATTAATATGAATTCAAACATAGTAGTTCAGAATAAATTAGATTATTAACTTCTGCAAAATTTTGATGCAGACTAGAAATGTAAGCAGCACTGCAGATGATTCGGAAGAAAATTCGCGCACACGTGAGGAAATTCAAGCTCTGATACAGAAAGCTAAAGAGTTTTCACTGAAACATGGAAACACCCTTGCTCATGCCTTAACACAACAGGTTTTGATCTCTCTTTTTCCTTCGGTTTTCTTGTGTATATCCACTTCATACTGTATCGTTCCATTGTTCTCATTATAGATTTGGAGCGTGGACGATGAAGGACTTGAGTTAAAAAATGCCAAACATTTTGGCACGACAATGGTGAAGCAATGGAAAAGGAATGACAAAGGTTTATGTGGAAAGGATACGATAACGACAGTCGAAATTGACACTGATGGACCTTACTCTGACAGAGCCTCAAATATCGATAAATTGCAATATCATCAGTATTATCAGGACCATCAAGAGAAGCTATATTCATACACGATTCCCTCTCCTCTCCACAGAAAATGTGACGATTTCTCCCTTCATTCACCCAATATGCCACCCTCACCTAACATTAATAAGTCTAAAGTGCACTCAGCCAGTCCGCGTTATCAAAGACTAGAGACGAACTATCAAACAGCCGAGACGCCGACCTGACGCTCAAATTACTTCCACAGAATGAGCGTAAGCCGTAACTCAGTACCTGCATCTCAGCCAAACTACATGGCAACGACTGCCTCGGCCAAGGCTCGAGTCAGTTCAGAAAGTGCACCAAGGCATAGGCCTTCAACCCCAGAGAGGGAGAAAACCGGTTCAGTAAAGAAACGACTTTATTTCCCTGTCCCGGACCAGTGCAATGATATTGGCATCAACCGCCACGATTCAGATCATTACAGCATGAACACCCAAAGCTATAAAAACATTCATATGGTCCCATTTTGTGTTGATCAGAGGTCAAATATTTCATCTTGTTGCACAGATAGCTTTGCTGATGATATTTCTTCAGCTGCAACTTGTGATACAAGAAGATGGTTGAGATGAGCCGAGATGATTTCGGACAGGAATGAGCGTTATGAAATTCCATTTACGAGCTTTTGTATTTACGTGAAGATGCACAATATCCGGTAGTCGATATGAAATTAAGCCTACATTTCCAAAGCATTGAGTCAAATTAGTACACATATCGAATTTATGTTACTACTTTGGTTATAAAATTGCATTAACCATTTTCATACATCAGCTGCTAACAGTAAAAACACAAATGGCAACGACAACAAACTAAATCTTGTTCTCAATAAATTTGGAATCGACTAAATGGATCGCTTTTGGCCAATCTATTAGGTTCATCGGTCGACCTCTGATAGAGTACATGCATCCTAGAACTATATTCTTTTCCTCATTGTAGTATTCAATCGTGCATCGAAAGAAGTTGAAATGAATGCTTTAACTTTAGTAGGTTCTTTAATAAATTCCTTTAGGCTCATACTTTGGTCACTTTTTTAATATTCTCCTACAAAGTACAAACATGTAGCTCGGTCCATATTATAAAACTAAAAGGGACAGCTTTAATAATGTTCTTGAAAATATGAATACATCAGACAAAAACATTGATGTATACATGTATGTATATATGTATATATAGTTTCTCTATGCGAGTACACTCAACAATTAAGCTATTTGTACATTATCTTTGACATCCTTGTTGATGGATGGATGATGTGACAAGTTGTGATGGTTGAATTAAATGTGTAAAATGTAAAAGGTAATATGAGATTTTGCCAAATGTAAATTCGATAAACCCTAAGTTATGATGTACATGTAGCAAGATTGGTACACACAAATACCTAGGCTCTGCAGGATTTTATTCTATCATGAGTTATATTCTTTAAATTTCTTAATCAATCATAGCCGTGACAAATTATTTTTCCAAGCTTGTGTTACTATTGAGGTTTCATAATGTCAAGAGTTAATTAAGACACACATCTTCGTTCCTCTTATGCATGTGTAGAGATTCATCTTGCTTCTGCACCTCAAAAACGTTCCAATGATCAATTTTTCATAGAAGAACTGAGTAATTACACGATTATGGGATTGGTGCTAAATACCACTTGTCAAAGACTTGAAATACTTTTCGAAATGTTAACCTAATACATGGATTTGATTTTATGTCATAAAAAAATAAGTTTTTAGAGAAGAGTAGCAAAATTGTACTGATAACTTGAGGAAAAGATGATATTTCCTCGCTCTCAGCTAAAGCTATATATTTTCGAGAAAAATGAAAAGGCCATAGGCCCAAAGCCCCACTAGAAATTTTTCAAAAAGATAGTCAAATGTTCGTAGGAATGGAATTTTGGAAAACGAAATTTAAATAAATTTATTTTCCGTTTATTGCTTAAATTTTTGGATGAGATGCTTTGACATGACATCATATGATTTCAACTTGAGATTTTCCAAATTTCAGATTTTCGGCTTTCAAGTTGGTGTGGACTTGAGAAGAAATTGTGTCATCACAAAAGCATGAAAATTGTGAACTTATCAGACCTTTAATGATAAAAATGAATCTACATAGTACATAGGAAAGCGTATTGAAGACTAACAGTTTGAGCTTTTAAACGAGACAATTTGAAAAGAAGCTCTTCATCCAATAACAGGAAACACGATCTGATTGTGGTCTTGATCATTATCAAACATAAATCAAGTATTTGAAGTGTATAAAACACTGAAATTCAAACATCTATAGATATTGATTGACAGGACTCAACCACAGAGATATTGAACTTGCAAGAACCCTTTATAAACCAAGCATTCGTCGTTCTGCTATATAAAATTGTAGAAGTTCCTATTAGAAATGCTCATACAGAGTAAACAAGAAACATAACATCAGAGAGAAAATTGCACTAACATAAAATAACCAAATTCGGGAATCAACTTCAAGAAACTCATTAGTTTAATTCAGCAATCGGAATGCAACAGCTTCTGATAATCCTGTCGGAGCTGCAAGAGTTGGACTATTGCAACCACTGCCATCAGAATGTGAAAACGATGACCTGTGAAGAACCCCAGATGGTGATGAAACAGTAGTTGCCGAGGGGCTGATTGAATAATATAGAGAAGCTGAATTCGAGCCTTTTAGAGTGGTTGATTTGGGTCGTAATGCCTCGGCTAATGGCCCTCCTTGTGCAAAAGGCATAAAAGAAACAGGGCCTAGCCAACTTGAATCTTCACGTTTATGGTCATCATAGTCTCGTACACTCCCAGTTTCGATTTTTTCCATTTGTTCATCTATGATATTTCCAGCTGCCATTGCCATCGTTAGAGTGAGCGAGGAAGAGGGTAAATTCCCTTGATCTGATGATACAGAGGACTCCGCATTCCCATTGTTATATGACCATGCATCAATAAATCCCCTTGGGGTCTCAGTATGCGAGTGTTTTTCCAAAGATACCAAACCAGGGTTGAGAAATGATCCTATGTAACCCTGATCATTGCCACTTTGATGAACAGCATGATCAGGGGCCGGGTAATCTGTGTAGGAGAACACGTTCATTGATTGATTTTCCACGTAATCTTGATGAAAAACAGATGCATTAGTGTTATAAACCGAGCCCTCATTTGCTATATCAGTGTACATCAAATGCTGCCATTGTGGATTAGCCACACACATTGCAACCATCTCAGCTTCTATCATCGAGTCCAAATCCCTTCAATGCATAGGCAAACAGTTATACATTATAATGGCATGTTCCATTAAGAAAAAGATATTAAAACCGTTTTCATTCTATGGTCAAGTACGATAATAATACTTTGTACAAAATACACACAAATGCTGTTCAGGTAAAATTGAACATCGCTTACAGATGAAAACAATCCATGTGTAAGGGCTTGTTCTACTCTAAGCAGCCACAAGATTAATCTTTTAAGATGGAATCCAAGACTTGGTATGGTATTAGAGGCCAAAAAGCTAAATGTCAAGACTCAAACAAGCTACCATCTTGTAGAAGCATGTTAAGGGTAAATCACACTCTTTAAAAGAAGAAAATATAATCAGCATATAAGACTTTGAAGCAATCCTCTTATAAAGGAGAAAAACTTTGATGGGACGCCGTCGAATGGAGAGCCACCACTTCATCAGGTGGCCCACTCTCACCCAATGGGTGAGGTCACCTCGGGACTTGATTTTCTCTCTTTCCACATCAAGTCCCAAGGTGGCCCCACCTCATGGGTGAGAGTGGGCCACCCAATGAGGTGGTGGCTCCTCATTCGATGGTGCGACCATCCCACCAAAGTTTTTCTGAAAAGGAAACTTTTAACACAGAACGCAAGACTCAAATAAATGACGCGTTTTGTATGGAAGACTGAAAATGGCACATACGTATGGAGACTGAATAGGCACCCATAAACCAATAGTTAGAGGCTGGGAGGCTTGATCGGAAGTAGCTTGAGATATTGCAAAGATGATCAAATGGGTAGTGATAGCAAAATGAATATGCCAAGAACCTAAATAGCTTCCCAATGGCATTCAAATTAAATAATTCCAAGTAGATAACATTAAAATATACCATTTCATCCAATTGAAGTCTAATGAGATAATGTAGAAACGTTCTGTTAACCCAAGTAATCTTCATTCTCTTGCTGGTCCATTTAATTAATATATATATATAAGCCTCTGTTTGGCCTCCATTAAATTACATTCCATTACATTCTACTTTTCTCTCTCCTATTTTCAACCACACAATCTTTCATAAAATAATATTACACGTAAATCAAAATTTTTTCCTTCCTTTTCAACTACTCATTTTTTCAACAAAACACTATTCCCCCCATTTTCATTACCAAAAATGGGGGGGGGGGGGGGGGGGGGGGTCAGGGGAATAGCCTTACATGAAACGCAAGGGTCCGGTGCAACTGCAGGAGAATTGCTGGAAATGGGAGAAAGAAGTTCAGGAGGCACAGGAACGGAGGCCAGCATGTACTTATAGATCATAGCTTGTCTCTCAAGCTCCTTCAATTGATCTGATGTAAAAGGAAACCCCACATATGCCTCCATCCCCCCTACATATCACAAAACAAAATAGCATTTTCAGTGACCTTTCTCTTTCTCACAGTTTAATCTCATTCCTGTAACTTTAACAGACAGAAAAGTTGAAAAAAGAAAGAAGAATTTTACCTGGGGATGTCAAGGCGGTTGAAGAAGGAAAAATGTCAAAAAGCTGCAAAGTTTTAACTGCTGAACCACCACCACCACTACTACGAACATCATCCTCGTATATATTTCCCCCAGTCTCGCAACCTTCGCCGTTATTACAGAGGGACCCACTACCATAATCGAATTGACGGCCATGATTGAGATTACTCGTCATGATAATCTCGGAAGGAAATGATTCTGCACCTTCAAACCAAAATCTTTACTACAACCATCCGATGTAGCCGCCTTGTCTGAAAATCTAAACTAAACCCACTGTGGATTAGCACAGTTTCACAAAACGCATGTTTCCAAAACTCGAAAAACAACCTTTTGATTATGATTACTGGCAAAATTAAGAATGGAAAACTGGAAAAGAAACCCAAAAAGAGTGCTTATTTATTCTTTATGAATAAATTTTCAAGTAGAGCGTGCCTGATGTGTAAATAGAAAAAAAATAAAAATAAAATCAAGAACTGGGTTTTATGGAGGCGGTTGGGTGGGGTGGGGTGGATTTTGGAATTTAGTAGTTTATTGCCGCCATTGTTAGCCTTTGATATGCCTCCATTCTTCCAACATTCGCACGCTAAACACAAACAATGGATAAATGCAAAAGTCTCTTATAATTGATGTATTTATTATAATTTAAAAATATATATATATTCTAAGTATTTATTACTACTAATAATTTTTTTTTTTTTAAATATTCAATTGACAAATATCTGCAAATTACATCATTAGATTGTTTTTGAAATAAAAATGGGCACTCTACCAGTTGCAATTACGAGTGAAAGAACAAAATTTTCAATAAATCGAGTTAACACGAGTGCTTGTCATGGGTCATTGGTCTAAAAAACTCAAACCAATAGGAAATTCAAACTAGTGTGCCAGCTAAAAGTGGGTTGAGTTGATTTTTATAACATTTATATTTTCAACCTTTGATTAATTAGCGAAATTGTCCTAAATGAATTTTTTTCCCCTTCTCTAAATTAACAAGTTAAAATGTTATAAAGCCAGCAAATTTTTTCTCTTTATCTTAAAAAAAAAAAAGAGTTTAATTCTTTATTTTAAAGCTGACCCGAAAAGTAAAGTTTAAGGAGGTGTTTGGGAGATATTTTTATGTAAAAATACATTTTTAAATAGTAAATTGATGGAAAATGTGTGGTTGAAAAATAAGGAAATTTTTTTTACTTACATGTAACGTTATTTTAATAAAAAATGTGTGGTTGAAAAGAAGAGAGAGAAAAATGTATTTTGAAAAAAAAGATACCAAACAGAGCCTAAAAAAGAAAATACGGCTAAACGATTTAATGAATATTTTAAAATGAACGTTGACATTGATATTGATAAATTAAATAAAAGGCGTGTTGAAATGAGTGAAAGAAATGAATGAAATAGTTGTTATAATTATGGGCAGAGTCTTGGAAAAATGCAATTCTTCATTCTTCATTGGTCCAAACTGCTAACAATTCTTTATTTATTAAAAATAAATGAGTATCGAGGCCTTGACTTTATTGAGCATTTGAACCCTCGTCTTTCTGGAATAATTTTGTAAAAAGTAATTTTTGAATAATATACCTTTCAAAGTAGAAGAAAATTTTGAGTTTGTACACAAAATTATTTTATTAAAAATATATAATAAAATTAAATAAAAATGTATAAAAGGGCAGATGATTTGATTTGGACCAAACCATAAAGGGATGGACAGCTGTGGAATGGGATAAGCAGTCCCCATCACCCACAAATGACGATTAAGAGCTCTAACTACTCCAGACCCCACACTCCACCTTTTGGACAACTCTCGAAAACAAATAAAATAATGATAAAAAAAAAAGGTTGAACCCCAACTTTGAGGGCTCACATCGTTTCGCCCTTAGAGTTTTGTGAGGGAGGTAAATTTGGGATGTGCCCCAACAGGTCAGGGAACAAGAGCTGTCTGTACACTGCGCCTATAAGGAGTCCAATTTCATATCTTAGGAATCGAACTCCCACACTGCGACTGCCAGCAAGGCGTGAGATAACCTCACTCCCGTCTTTTGCACCACTGAGCTATACCCTGGGGAGCCAAATAAAATAATGATGGGCCAAATAAGAGATTGTATTACGCTATTTGTACAAAAATTATTTACAAATCTCAACGTATTTTCTTATCCATCACTTTATCTTCTTCTCGATTGTCCAATGATTATATTAAAATGAATTATCTTACAGTGATATAATACTTGACATAATATTATATGATATTTTATTATTTGACTGTTTTAAATACAATAAGTCTTTTTATCCAATCATGTCTTGTCGACACATATTATGTCATTTTATCTGTCAATTACTTTCCGACAAAGTGGAACAATCCTATTGAAATATTAAAAATTTCGGTGAACAATTAAAAAATAATTTTGAGAATACGATGTAATTTTAAACGTTGGATAGGACTATTTCGAGTAGTCAAAGATAGAAACGTCAATCTAATTTTTTCCAAGTTTGTAAATTTGGAGAATCAAATGGGTGAGTGGATATGTAGAAACTTATGGGTCTGCCTCCAAGCAGGGAACATGGAATAATTGCACCACACTGTACAGGGTCCCACCTTTTGTTTTATAGATTATTCCTTCTACCACCGCCAAGGAAACACCTAATAATAGTACTAGTACTAATCTCATATAAGTCAAATGCTTTAGTTGACAAATTATTTTTCTTCAAATTCGTTTTAAATCATATATTTTTTCAATAAAAAAATTTTGTACATGAACTTATAATTTTTCAGTATTTTTTAACTACTCGATTTAAAAAATTCGCCACTATGTCCTAACAAAAGAAGTAAGGTGCACCAGAATTAACTACAAACATTTAGATGAATTGTTCGAATTATACTGAAAGAAAAAACACGTTCTTCCTATTAAACCAAATCTACCGCTTAAATCAGCCAGATTTCTTAGTGAGATTTGTATAGGCTTAATGGAGACTTCCCTTCCCTTAGTCGCCTCTAACATTTGTTCATAACTTTATGCACATTCATTTACTCACGGCATCACCATAACTAAATAAAAAACATATCCTTCAAAAGAAGTTAACTGAAAATCAATGGCTAATCTGAAGAAGTATGATGAGAAGAGCAGTTATACATGATATCATCGGAGTTTAAAACATCAAGTTCGAACTTGAACTTTGTTTTTTCTAGCAAATTGAAGTTTCTGCCTTTGTGGTTTGGATCAAGAACATACTTTAATCGATTGTATGATGCGTGGATGTCTATGAGAGGTTTCCGAATTTCAATGTTTCGGTGACAAAAGAAGAGTGGTTGTATGTGTTGGGGGTGGTGGGTAGGTGACTGTTGAATTATCTAATATTTTGATTTATTTTCAAGACAAAGGCCTCAAGCGCTAGGTCTTCTAACGTAAGTAAGATAAAAAAGATTGATCACATGACAAAGAACGATTGAAATTACATAAATTATATAATATCGAGTTGATGAAAGCATAAGTTATTATACTGATTTATTAAAATATAAGTAGTGATCATATATCTCAGCTTTTATAAATATCGTGTCCATCTTACAATTTAAATAAGTTCAACTTATTAGTTCTCGAGGCATGAATCCCGTTCATAATTGTGTTTACAAACAAAACGACATAAGGGTCGTTTTTTCCTATGTAATGGTACTTGTGCCATTCTGTTGATTTCTTGTGTAATTTGATTTATTTCCAACACATTGGCCTCAAGCAATGGACTTCCTGATGTGCGTAAGATCGAAAGGTTCATCACATGATAAAAAACGATTGAAATGATATAAATCATCTGATATCGTGTTAATGGAAGCATAAGTTATTCTATTGATTCAATAAAATATAAGAAATAAGCATATCTCTCAAGCTTTGTAAATATTATGCCCATCTTACAACTTAATTGAGTTCAACTTATTGATAGTGGGTGTTTATAAATAGAACGACACAATGGCCATTTTCTTTTAATTAACAGGCACTTGTGCTATTCTATTGATTTCTCCTATATTTTGATTTATTTTTAATTCAACGACATCAAACATTAGATCCACTAATGTGCATAAGATAGAAAGGTTTATCACTTGACAAAGAACTATCTAAATGACATAGATCTTATAATATCGAATTGATGAAAGTTTAAGTTATTCTACCGATTCATTAGAATATAAGGAATGAGCACGTCTCTCAACTTTTATAAATATCATGTATATCTTATAACTTAAATGAGTTCAACTTAATTGTTCTCGGGATTCGAATGTGGCTTGATTGCTTATTCGTGTTTATAAATAGAAAGACAAAAGAGTCATTTTCCTCTCAATAATGACACTTGCGTGTTCTGTTGAATTTTCAAATATTTTTATTTATTTCAGGGCGAAGACCTCAAACATTGGACCCTTTAACGTAAAAATAAAAAGATTGATCACGTGATAAAGAACAATTGAAATCATATGGATCACATGATATCGAGTTGATTAAAACATAAGTTATTTTACAGGTTCATTAGAATATAAGTGTAAGGTGATGATATTGATCACCAAAGATAACCCAAGCTCAGTTTATAATCACTTTCAACACCATAAAGTCGACAACTACGAACACAAGACAATACCAAGTTTACTTCTGGTTGCCAATGAGATATATCACTTAGAAGACCACAAAGGAGCAAGAAATCTCATAAACTATCACAACTAAGATGATAGACAAAAAGAGGCAGAGAAAATGGAAGAAGAAACCACGAGAATTGACCAAGAATAGGAGGCAGTGAGGGGTCTCTCAAAATGAGAGAAAGAGACCAATTTATCTCTCAATCAAGTGGCTCAAATAAGGTAAGTATAAGTAGGTTAAACAATGGGTCAAGTTCGAGACCCAAGAGACAATTAAATGGGTTCACAAGATATTCTCTCAATTAATGGCCATCCAAAGAAGTGTATGGGGTCATGAGCAACACCAAATTATTTAGTTTGCTTCGAGTGGCTCAATTAATCTTCGGGTCATATCGTCTCGAACGTGGTGTTGAATTCTCGTTCAGTCATTTAGCTAGGCTGACTGAAAACTTAAAACAAGTAACATCAAAGCCTGAGGGAGGTCGTTTGACAACAAATTGCCTAACAATAAGTAATGAGCATATCTCTCAATTTTTGTGAATGTTATGTCCATCTTACAATTTAAATGAATTCAACTTATTGGTTCTCGGGGCATGAACAAGATGTGGCTATTTATAATCATTTTACACACAGAACGATACAGGGGTTGTTTTCTTCTCAATAATGATACTTGTGCAATTTTGTTGATTTCTCATATGTTATTTTTATTTCCAATGCAACGACCTCAAGTTTTGGATCTCCTAGTGTGCATAAGATAGAAAGGTTTATCAGGTGACAAAGAACGATTGAAATGACATGGATCATATGATATTAATTTGATGAAAACATAAGTTAATCTACTGGTCCATTAGAATATAAATAATTAGCATATCTCTCAACTTTTGTAAATATTATGTTCATCTTACAACCTAAATGAGTTTAATTGGTTTGTTCTCGATGCATGAATATG